TGCTTTCTCACCCGGAACGAATGAAGAAAAAAAACATAACTTAATTGCTAATTTTATCTTGGATATAGAGGGTGCAAGTTTGTTCTACATTCTAGCCAAACAGCTCTTTGATTCGTACATCGAATGTGTGAAAAACCATCATAAGAACGAGGACCCGCAATCGAGAAATATTGAGATAGATAGAATGGACCACCTAACGTCAGAAACACTTATACTTATTCTTCTTGTAATACAAAACTTTGCGGAGTTTCATGAACAGTTTTGCGTGACATGTGTAAAGACCACTGAAGTTGTTTCGCTATGCCTGATTCAAAGTCGGCAAGTTGAAGACGTGTTTATGACTACACAGGCTGAGGGAAGCGGAAGGCCTGTACGAGCTATACGAATTCTAGGATGTTGCTTCAATATTCTGTACAATTTGGCCAGAAAAACTGAATTAGTCAAAGCAAAAGTCGACTTTGAAGGGAAAGAAACTTTAGTTTATTTCGCAAAATCTGACATCGCCATCGTGTCCCCTCTTGCTCTTCTTAGCTTGGCTTACGTTGTTGACGAAGAGAGCAATAATCTAATTCTTGCTGTTGAAGAAATTCTGGGATCTCTGACGTCACTTTTGCAAAAGGCTCTTGAGTCAGGGCGTAGGAAATTCGATGGATTCTCAACTAAAGAGCTGTCTGAAGGACTCAGTCGTCTCGCAATGAATGATACAAACAAGAGAGTTCTGGGTGAAAAGGGTGTCATATCAGTTCTCGTTTCTATAATCAAGACTTCAAATGACAATAGCGAGAAAGCTAGTGCAGTCAATGCTCTTTGGGTGTTATCTTTTGATGAGGACAATAAGAAAACCATCACTCAAGATAATGCAACCTTAGCCATTCTGCGAGGACTTCAGCAGAGCGATGACTCTGAAGTGCAAAAAGCTGCAGCAGGTGCATTGTGGGAACTCGAAGGAAAGACTGCCAGGAATTCGGAGATGACAAAAGCAACCGGAAATCACGTGATGATCAGCTACCAATGGGATTCCCAGGAAGTTCTGATTGAAATGAAAAACAAGCTTCAAGCAAGCGGATACAGAGTTTGGATGGACTTGGAGCAAATGGGAGGATCGACGCTAGAGGCAATGGCTAAAGCTGTAGAGAATTCGTCTGTGGTTCTTGTCTGTGTATCACATCAATACAAGGAAAGTCCGAATTGCCGTTCAGAGGCAGAATATGCATATCAGCTGCGAAAAGACATCATTCCTTTAATGATGCAACAGAACTATAAACCAGACGGTTGGCTGGGAATGATTGTGGGAACAAAACTTTGGATTGACCTACGAAACAGTTTTAAATGTAGAGACGGCAACTGGAAAACTGATTAAAGAGTTAGGTGACAGAGGACGAGAGAATCAAGGAAATCACTTCAATGATGAACACGAGAAGCCTGTAGAAAAAGACCAAGACTTAACAAACACCTCTGAATTATCTGGAGTAGCAAAATGGACGGCAAATGAGGTAAAAGGCTGGCTGGAAGACATTGGTCTGGATGAGGTTTGCAAAGCTGTGTTACCGAAATTAAATGGACAGGCATTGATTCATCTTTACGCACTTCGTGATGAATGTCCAGATTATTTTTACAGATGTCTGGAAACGAATCTTAACTTGCGCGATATGTTTGATGTATTTAAATTCAGAGAAGAACTTAGTAAGTTAATGAAAGAATGAAGCAGATGAAACAATCCCAGAGATTTATTCTAGACAATTTGCTTGAAACCATCTAATATGGACTTATAGCAACCTAATAGCAACCTAATATTAAAAAAAAACTGTCAGGCGGAATTTTTAATTTAAAAGGGAATTTTCATATAAAAACCAGTGAAGCCTAAAATTTCGAAGTAGGTCTTTAATATAAAATTTAGCACCCTTTATGTTAGAGTGCTTTTTTCACTGTGTCCATACGTTATGATATCAATAGTTACAACCTAACAGTTTCCATTTAACAGCACTCTTTCTTACCAAAAATTAAGAATCCTAGAAAGCCTGATTTCATAAGAACCTGTTTAAACTTACTTGGAAAATAATTATTAGTTCTTACAAAATAGACGCGGGGCTTTACTGTAATATTCACTGTTGAGTCCCAAATTATATTCATCTGCAAGACAATATATTATCTAATCAGTTGTAGATCAATGGATTTATAAATAGATAAATCAACTATTGAATTACTTTTAAAGAGACTATCATTTTTCTAATTCCCTCAAAAACGAGTCGCAAAACTATCAATTTACGTCATGTGCTGTGTGACGTCATGCGGTCTCAACAATAAACTGTTAAGAACCGCTGACCGTTTTACTGCCTATTAATTTTGATAAATCTATAAACTCGCCTTGAAATGGTACAAAATACGGGGACTTGACCTCAGCTGAACACCCTTCACACATTTCTCGCCGGACAAGAATGAAATCGTAGGTTCAACAGGTGTTACATTCACGCTAAATACTTTATCTCTTATTTAGCTCCTCAAGAGGACTAAATACGACTCTATCCCGTCAAAACAAACGACTGCCTCCTGTGGGGAAAACTCTTATATCAAGTACGTCGCGATAGTTTAGCAGTGCTTTGAGATATCTGTTATATTGCTATATTGCTGTGTAACTGGGCGATATGGTCAATTATGAACCGTGTAGTAGTAAGGATTACGTGTATGTTGCTTACGGGGTTCTTTGTGTTGTATGTCACAAGAGACTTGGATCGTTTAGAGGGCTTACCAGCAACTGGGACTATTAATATACGAAGAGCACGCACTGATAGAGATTCGCGTATTGAATTGAAAGAGAATATTTCACAAGGCGTAAATGTAAAGGGATATCACACGATAAAGAAAATCTTGTTTGGAGATTTTGATAACCCCAAGAATGGCATCAACAAGATCGTACTTCATACCAAAAAAAGAAAAAAAGCCACGGAAGAGCAAGACAGTTATAAAGATAAAAGGACAGCAGAACACAATATTCCTTATCATATAACAATTAGCGCTACTAGTCACAAACCTAATAAATCTGTTAACATGTTAACACATGAAGATGCAACAAAATACAACGAAGAAAACAAAGGCAACAATAGAAAAGTGAAATTAAAAATTGAAGAAAGCCAGGATGAACTGCAATGTCCTAAAAACAAGGAGCGTTCTGTTCTCAGAAAACTTTTTAAGAAATGGCATACCTTAGCAACACGTGAAGGAATTCCTTATTACTTGTTTTTTGGCTCGTTACTCGGTTACTATAGAAACAGTGATTTGTTGCCATGGGATACTGACGTCGACGTTGCTGTCGATGTGCGTTATTTTCGCACACTTCGTGATGTTGCGTCTCCAAGAACGTTCACTAAACATGATCGCGTGCCGCTATTAGTAATCCAGCAAGATTTAAGTTTCCCTTGTTCAGGGCGACAACGTGTTTCATGTGACGGACGCCTCGTGAATCGCAGTGTCGACGGCTGCTCGTTCCAGGACCCTATGGCGCGTGTAGTACTTGGTGGCAGACATATTGATATTTTCGCTATGTATGGAGTCAAT